ATAATGTTATTGGTCTAAAAGTCATGTGGCATTTATACACTTGGACATACCTCAGGGTCACTAACCCACCCCAGCCTCACCGGAACCAGGCCTAAATACGTCTCTGCTAACTTTAATAATCGGTTACGTCAATATTTTTTTCGGAAATTATATTGGTTTTTTCGCAGAAAATTCTTGATATTCTGCTCCATACGTACGTGTTAAAAATAAATAATTTACATACAGTTGCGATTGTTATAGTGTTCCAATTCCCACTAAGATGGTGGAAAATGACGAAATTTTTCATTTTGATATAATATAATAAACGTATTGTACTTCAGGGTGCGGCAGTTAGCGATCTATGACATTTGTCAGTGATTATACATACAATAAAACAGTTATCATGATTAGATATAATTTTAAACTTGTACTTTATAATTGATCGAAACCATCAAATTACTACCCTATGTTGACAGAATCTGTACAGTTTGAATTTTACAGTGTAATTTACGGCCAATATGTAATTTGTCAACGGCGTGCCTTTCAGTGTCAGCTATAATATTATACAGTTTAATACAATTAGAGACATTCATATTTTAAATTTCTTATGTACCTATAGTTTGGAAGAAGCAATAGTATATAATATAAGATATAGTCAATAGTATATTAATTTAAAATTAAAACTACTTACTCACACCTCTTCTTGTGTTAAGACTCACGAATGTCGAAACATCTGATTACCGATTTTATTCTTTTGTGTTTTTAAACGTATACATTTTGTAATCGTTTTTCTATACGGTACCAGATTGTCCTAGCTTTTTTTGCTCCAATATTTTACTTGTTTCGGTACCTACATAGTCCAGTGGCGCAACAAAGGGGGTGGGGGGTGCCCTGGTCCAGATCCCCCTCCTCGGGACATACCTATAATATTATTATGTGTGGGTATATACCACCCAAACAGTATGTGAAACGTTTCGTAACGTTCTAACAAGTACGGACCCCCCTCGAAAAAATTCTGGTTGCGCCACCACAACCCTATATACTACAACATTTATGCATACATATTATTATTCACTATGTATTAAATAAAATTCTGGATCCGCCCCTCGGACCCTCTCCACCGCGGAGTCACTGACACGGAATCGAGTGTTGGATTTTATGAAAAAATTGAATCGCACAAAGTAAAATGTATATTATAATTTATAATTATTATACACCTACCATTATAGGTATGGTTTGAGCGGTTTTGTGCGTGGCAGTTTTGTAGTTTTCCACGGTGTCAGCAACTATATCGGTACCATTGTGTGCCTGTTCATCTGTACAATATTTTATTTACATACTCTGGCTACTATATATACTATACAAATAATGATGTGTAAAACAATATACATGATATTAATATAGTGCCGGTAATATACAATTATTTGGCGGTACGCTGGATCGAGCGAAACGAAAAAAACAATGCATCAGCTAATTTCTGTAAATCTATCATTTTTCACGCATAATGATTTAAGATAAGAAAATTATATCATAATATACGAAATCAAACGCTTTATTGGTGAGGGCAGCAAAAACTAAGTCGAACATTTTGTTCATTCTACGTGTGCTGCAGGTTCACAGCTACACGTAAGCCTATCTCCAAAACTTAAACTCGTCCGTTGTCTGTCTAAGGGTGTACCTTTGTCCTTTGGTATTATATTCTGATTGGGCCGTTATAACTTATGTAATCATAGGGTACATCGCTAACCATATTACGATCTCCACCAGGAATTTTCTTCAGAACTCGAGGCGGGTATAGGCGCAAACAATGTTTGTCAATGGGGAGGGAGGGGATTACGTCAGACGATATGCAACTGTAATCCTGCGCGGGACTTTAATATAAAATAAATTACACATTATCGTTTTTCCCTCTTTTTATCCACTCGCCGACCAATAATATTTGATAATAAACAACAGTCGTTTGATGATTCCGATGACTGCGACCCGTCCACACGACCCGGTAAGCGGTATCGTGGTAAAATAATAATACGTATATATAATGGTTATTTGAGTACCTCACAGCAGCTATAGCCTCGGACTGTATACGCGGTGCTTTTTGATGTAAATTGTACGACCACCTGTATGGACGGCAGACGCTTACTGAAAACTAACAAGCTGGCATTTGAACCTTTTCCCCATAATTATTATATGATAATAATGTCGTCGTCGTCCGACGGCGGCGTAAGTATACTTACAATATTATTATTACACACAATTTGCTTATTACAGACAATCATTTTTTTATCAGCGTTTCCAAGTATTCGAGTATAACTGCTGCGGTATCTAAATACCTACTTTTAAATGGTAGGCATGAAGCGAATAAAATGTGGAGGTATTATCAGTATTAATACATTTTATTTTAAACACTCATTATCGGAACCTGTGAGGCTGTGAAACTATACCTAAATATAGGGTACCTACCTAACCTATTTAACATCAACGTAGGTACATTATATTGTAATTTAGTTGTTTTTGGACTTTTCGTGGTGATTTTGTAAATCGCGATCACTGCAGATCATAGATTAGACAATAAGTTAAATTTGACAATCAGTCATGCAGCATATTATCATCGTCCTATCATTCGCTTCATTGAGGAATCATTTTTCGAGACTGTTATTATGCAATATATAATTGTGGCCCACAATTTGTGTGTGCTCAACTAGTAGTTCCGATGCTCAGGACAGTATGTAGAAGATTTACATAACTATTTAAAGTGGCACGATATTACTAGAGAATCGAAGATTTCGTGTAGTGTATAGATATGTACAAAGAGTTCATGCGATACAAATAAAACAACAATTATTATGGTGTTATAAAATATATGTTTTAATTTTATTTTTCGTATTTTTTTATACAATAAATATCTCTTTTTAAAACACCTAAGTTATACAGACGAAAAAAAAAAACATAAAATAAAATAAGAATAAATGAAGTGAACATATTATATTATCGGTATACACTTTATTATAATACTTATCGATAAAGTACGGGGAAGTGTGTGAGGAGGGGAGGAAGAATTGGGGGACGATCGCTCGGTGACGATCAAAATAGGGACATTTCGATTTGGTTTGTGTAGCTGTATTGAGCGCAGTGCCATAACTGACCCGTCTGCTCGCGAAAATATTACAATTAATATAATATTATAAAACTAATTTTAAAATAATAATAATAAAAATAATAATAATAATAATAATATTTATAAATACATTAGGGCCGTCCCACATTCGTCAGGCCGATAAAAGACGAAAAAAATATAATAATAATTTAGCCGATCATTAAAATAATAATGAATTTAATTATTTTAATTTAATAATAATCATTTTTTGTACCTCGAAATAAATAGAAAATGACAAAATCATAATATATGGCTCATCGTATACATATCATATAATATAACTTCTATAGGTAATAATATAATTGCGATGCTACTAATAATTATTATAATAATAGTAATAATAATGATAATAATAATAATATTACTATAATAGCGTCACTGCTATTGTAGTCAAATAAGGGATGGGGTAGCAGCAGGGAGTACGACAAAAACAAGGTAACTCAAATGATGGTCATTGAACCATATACCTTTGCATTGACTGTAATATTGTGACGTCTAATAATTCAATTTAATTATCATTATTATTTTAAAACGGAAGAAGTTAAAATAATGGTTAAACATATAGTTACCGTTCAAGTGTTTAATATTATATAGGTATTATAATAATATCCTTACTAGAGATTGGTGCTTACTTAATAATAATTTTCTTTTCATATAAATTTTTCTATACGCGTTTTTGGAGATCAAGAACATGACGTGTAAATAATTTGGCTACTTTTTGACTCGAATAATAATTTGTTTTACTGAATGACTAAAGAATAATGACGAAGAATAATAAATAAATAGTAATAATAAAACAAAACTAAATTTACGAATAATATTATTATTATAATATAATATGAATAGCCCACGTTCAAGAGATCTATAAAATTTCCACTACGTTTAAATTGTTATAACAAAATTTAACTAAGTCTGTGAATAAATTCGTATCATAATAATTATTAAATTTCTTCAACGGGGAAAAATATCAATCAATGAGAAAAAAAAATATTATATACAAATCGGGTTTTTTTTTGGATTTTTTTTTTTAATGAAACAACGTTTTCCATATCGTTTACATACATATAAAGAGGAGAGATCATACATAAAATAACTAATAATTAAATAAAATAAACAATAAGGGATGTAAAACTTAAAACACTAAAGATAGAAGAATGAATGTTATCATATTGATAAAAATCACTTAACCCTATGAAGCTAAAATATAAGCTCCTGCAGGGGACATAATATTATAATAATATCTAAAACTATTTATCACATTTTCTTTTAAAAATATAACTAATTATATAATGATATCATAACCTATGTAATAATAATAATGATGATAATAATAATAATAATAATATTTAATTAACAAAATAAGATAGCGGACCTCGCTTGTAATGGTGGCCACGATAGCCACAAAGATCGCTATAGACGAAAAAAAGGGTAATAATATTATATTATCATAATAAAACCAAAGATGAAAAATTCATTTGTTACAATAAGATTGTTGAATAAAAGAAAAAAAAAACAAGTAATAATAATAATAATAATAATAAAATTAATATTTTTTTTGGAAAGGGGGGAAATAAATAAATTAAAATTAAAAAAAAAGAAAAATTATATAACACACCTACAGTGGCACGTTATAATAATAAAATTGTATAATTTATTATTTCACATGAGGTAGAAACAAAACAAAATTTATATTATCTTACAATAATTATGTTGCGACAAACAAATGTCAAAATAGTAAAAATGTCGTCATAAGTCCGTTGACGGGGCACGCGAGAAGCGCGTTCCTTATTTACTTGCATTCGTCGCCGCGCAGACGTCATGTAACGCACGTACATGTAACGTCGTGGTCGCGGGACGTGTCACCGCATTACCGACGACCGCCGCCGTGCAAGCCGCACTCCTGCACGCGGTACGGCTTCTTGACGGGCGGCTCGGACGCGGGATTGTTGTTCTCCGACTTTTCCGGCGTGACCGCGGCCGTCGTACTGGCCACCAGCGCGTCGATGAGCGACACGTGTTCGTCCACTTCGGCCGCGGTGCACGCCAACAGCACGCACAGCTCGGCGGCCACCTCGGCGGCCGCTGACGGGTCGATGCCGCGGATGGCCGACAGCATACACGACGCCGCCATCACCGACGGTTTTTTCTCTATGAAATCGGGTTCTGCGGAAACAACAAACAAAACAAGAAGGTTAACGATGGTTCAGCGTAATGTATATTGGGCACGTAATTGTTGTTATAATATAATATAATGTAATAATAATATTGTAAGTACTGTACAGGGTCTTTCAGCAAAACGGTTAAATATGAAAAAATACTCTTCAAAGGAAAAAGATCGAGTAAATATAATGTAAACAAAATGTATTTATTGAAAACAACGTTTATCTATACATTATGTCATAATCTTAACGTAACTATTTTTTGTGAAACGCTTATTAACAAGGAAACTGAACGTTGTGAACTGACACACTAATCCCATGAATACTAAAAGTTTTTATTTTAGAGCTTTTTTAAAATTGTTTAAGGCATAATCACGTTTTAGAAGACCAATGTTTTAGAAAACGCATGTATGGGCAGGACAGGGCCGAAAATACATTTTTAGATGGTACCTACAAAACTATAGGGTTACCATACGTCCATTTTTACGAGGTTTTGTCTTCTATTTACTATCGTCCTCGTTTGTACGGGCTCTATTAAAAAAAAAAAATCAAAATGTCCTCTTTTTTACACGTTATGTCATAAGTCATAACAAATTAGTTGCTAGTCGCTGATGTACAATCAAACCTAACCAATGTTTTCATAAATTCATTACAGAAATACAACAGGAGCTAACCGAAATATAATTTTGATTACTATGTATATTGTATATACATTATGCAGACGGCATCATCGACGTAGTTGCAATAATAAATTATTCTAATATAGTCGTTTATACATTATAATATTACACTGTAATTATTATTACTATAATTTATTATACAGTCAGTTAATTATATTGTAGTAAGTAACAGTACTGCAGCATACTTTATATAGCCTAAACGCCAAAACACCTGTACACAATGCGTGACCGGTGGGGGTGTCTGCATATGGGGGAATATTGCTTGAAATCCATATAAACATTGTCTGTCATGCTGCATATTAACGCACGTGGTCAACGACGATTTTTGAAATGGGTTTTTTCTTTTTCACAATAATATTATGCTCAGCTGCAGGCAAATGTTTCGGTTTTTTCGGCCAGCACCGTAACGGGCAGCTGTGCCATGGCTAAAATATAGCACAGACCGGCCCGACTATACTAGACAGCCACAAACATTTTCTAATTTTTTACTAGATGTTAAAAATTTTATAGAAAGTGTCATCAATATGGGTGGCTCCTTTCATCAAATTAATTTTCCTGTGAATGTTCTTTTAGCTTATATTCTAATTGTATTAAGGATACAGATTGTATATATTATTTGAAAAAAAAAGAAGAAGTTATAAATATATACATTTTGGGAATGTGTAGATATAATATATATTGATCTCGTATTATATATATAAGCACTAAACTCAGACTGATACATACGGTTATATTATGCAATATAATATTGGTAATTTGCCATTGACTATCGGATATGGCATCACTCGCGGGTGCACTATTGCAGTTATAGATTATTTACGAAACATATTATATTGTTTATAGTCGCATATACATTATATTATTATAGGCCGAACCCGAACGACCATAGTTCGTTTTGTCGTTTATAATATTATAATTTATATTCTTATTTAGGTACCTATGTAAATATCATTGTATTGTATTATTATGTAAAGACGAGCACAAAGCGCGAAGACGTCCCATTTCTGATACGCATATTATATAAGTAAAATATAATAATAAAAAAAAGTGAATAAATACAATATAATATAAGAATACGACGAAGAAACACACCGTTAAAAAATATACATAATATTTTATTCGTCGAACTCGACACCACTATAGATAACGATGGGCGGATAATAGTATCGAAGAATTATAGTTTAAAAATCAAATTTCATTAGTGTGTGAGCATCGAGAGGTACCTGTATAATAATGTACTCTCGTTACTGCCTAAAAAGGGTTAGTATTGTTGTTTTTTTATAGTTCCCAGACACATATATAAATATCAATGGACCAAAAATATAATAATAAAGAAGGGTATTGGGATTGGGAGGACGTACCTATACTACGCACGATTATTGTAAACGGTGTGCATAATACGCTCGAGTATAATATTATTATTATATGTGTAGAAACTAGAAAGGGACCCGTTTACAGAAGTCTCCTCCCGCGGGTCACACGACGGTGCGCGATCGCGACACCCTGCACCCCGCCATCCCACCTCAGCCGTCATCACTATACAGCGCAATGCTATCTATAGTTACTAGAATATGTGTACTACATCATTCTTAAACTTAACCACGAACACCATCCTTATTAGAGTATATTGTATACAAGAACACAGGATAAGACCGAAGTTTTCGTCAAATTTCGTGGGAATCACGGCGAAGGAGCTTATAAACGACGGTCACAATAATTAAAATAATATAACCTGCAAATGACAGTAAAGTACATCTGAGCAGTGATCATAGTAGTGGGGTACAGTAGTATGGGGTTAATGTTTGATAATTTGATTAAAGTCGATTCATGAAACTGATTCCTGTCCTGAGTAGGATGTGTATTAGGTATTAGGTACTATACGAGCTCAATGACAGTTTCAACGGGCAAATTTAATATATAGTTTTTAGTTGTTATAACCAGGAGGGAAGGAAATTGTTGCGTGTTTACAATATTATTTATAAAAAAAAAGGGTGTTTGGCAAATACAAAAACGATAAGAAAAACTATTCAACGATATTCGTATACCGGTTAAAAGGTTACTATCTTCTGTATATATATACACAAATATACTAAAAATGTATACCTACCAAATAAAAATAAAACGCAGTTTAACGGTTATTGCGCGTTTATTACTTAAAACAAAGACAAATCACAACAACTATAATATGACCACTGCAACAAGCCAACCCACCCTAATTATCGTGTAATATATATATATAATAATCACGACCACCCCGTAACGGATAAGCGTAGACATAACAATAATATTATACCGTAGTTGTTGTAATTCAAAACGCCCCCGACCGAGGTAAAGTGACACGTGTGTCTATGCCGTGTTTCGGAAGACGACATTTGCTTTGCTCAATCACCATTCATCGGGGCAAGGCGACAACTAATGTTTTGTTACATTACTTTTAGGTCGCGCGCACATCCATCAAAACGTACGTCCGCTGTCTCTATAATAACGTTTAGGTGTCGCCGAGAAATATTATGCGGGCCGCCTTCACCGCGGGAGGATATCTAAATATCTTTTCGGTAACGAAAAGGGGAAAAAGTCCGAAAAACATAGACTTGAAATTGGTAGTTATGACGTCGTTGCCACCACCGTAATCGATTACACGCGTACGCTTTCGTCTTGCTCTCGCCTTTGATAAAATAACACAATGATATAATGTCTGTGGCTGCAGAAAACAAAACATGTATTGTACGTTCTGGGCAACCATACGCCACACAAAACATAGTGCAGGGGAAGACGCGATGCGTTTTATTCTCGAAAATCTTTGTACTTGGTGCAAGGTTCGTTACACTAGCACCACAACCTAAACTATTTTCTTCGTACTTCCTAAGTAGAATATTTCAATGTGCGGGTGCTGGTGTAACGTTACGCCAGCACCCGGTTGGGAAAAACGGTTTTTCCGGTACTTGGTTTAGGTTACGAATTCCAAATTTTCGGTTACGAATGGTTACTAATTAGTTACTAAATAATGGAACCGATTTCGAAGAAAATAGTTTAGGTTGTGGTGCTAGTGTAACGAACCTCTTGGTGCACGCACAATTAAATAGATATTCTGCGGACGTGCATGAATACGTGATTTCAGATTCGCGTCTCTGTGACGATATCAACTATATGACCAAACAAGGCGAGATGTTTACCGCTAAATTGTAGAAGTATATTATCCGTCCGGTCTGAGGAATAGCATTAATTATTATTATATTATTGAACCTATTCGCGAGGACGACGACGACGGCGAAGAAGAAGCAATGTCGATCTGTTTTCGTACGTGGCGGTGGCATAGTTTGACCTCAGCGAAGCCGGTTAAGTAGATGGTCGAGGACGCGTCGACGACCCCGCCGGAGGGACACGCGCCTTCGTGGTCATTGGCCCACGCCTCCACCGCCACCGCCGACCACAACAAGACGACGACCGAGCGCGACACTCGGCAGTGGTTCGGTGGGGACAGGTGCGCGGAGGATCAATGGACTGCGTGTACCATGTGTTCGTGCCATGTGTGCGTGTGCGAGTTACTGTACCTATACCGCCGCCTTCACTGTTAAATATATGGTGGGGATGGTTGTGGCCAAGAGGTGATGGACCGGTGGACAGGCAGGATGCCAGGATCGTTTGATCGGACATATTACAGTTAAGCTCCATGGACCCAAATTTACACAGAATTCGGTCCGAAAAATAATACCTAATTGAATTCAAAAAAAATATCAACTATAGCTGTTATATCGGACTCGATGTCAGGTGGGCATAAAAAGTTGGAAAATTTTTCATCGTGAACGACGTGAACCGTATTTTAATTGAAAAATACACTGTTGGAAACACATAATATTGTTGGAATTGTTTTTTAAATTTTTATTGAATCATATTATTACTATTTGGAACTGAAATCCGGTTGAAATATGTTATTTAGGAAAAATTTCGTACGGAAACGTAATTGTATGGAAAATATTCTGTTGGAAACACGTTGTTGGAAATGTATAGTTCGTATAATACGCTGAAAGGTATTTTGTCGGACTAGCTTTTGCTAAGAAATGCCAATTAATTTATTTTATTTTTATAGAAACCGTATTATAGTATTTGTGTTGTAATTATCGATAGTTCAATAGTTGATGATTGAATAATGTTAGTGGTCACAACCTCAAATGGTGTAAATTGTATAACTAAAACCATAGACCATAATGTTATATACATGCGGTAAAATATTAATTTACATAAAAATTAAAATATTCAATTTTCGTCGAAAGTGGGACCATTTGAAAAGGGGACGCAGATTTAAAAAGATATAATCGTTCACCTT